TTCGACTGCGCCGCCGCGGCCGCGGCCCGCCTGTTTTCGGCCCGCTGAGGAGCTGACGTCACACACGTGTGACGTCACCGGCCGCCTGCGGCGCGTCCGGCGAGCCGGGAAAATCCTCGGCGGCGTTTTCCAGGCCTGGCGACGGACGCGCGGATCTGATTTCGCGTCGCCCGGTAGCCGGAGCCGAGGTTGTTAGGAAAACACGCGGAGGTGGGGGTGGGGGTGGAGGGGGGTCTGCCGCGGGCGGAAAAACAGCTGGCGGAGGCGGCGCCGCCCCTGGCTCGGCGGCAGGTGTTCCCAGAATCATCGCACGGCGGTACGGGCGCTCGGGTGGGGGGGGGGGGGGGGGCACTGGTGGTTATTGACGCCTCACTGCGGACGCCACTGCAGCAGTTCCCGGAAGAACGCCGGCCTGCTGGACTGAGCAGCGCCTGCGAGGGATCGCGTAGGCCAAGGTTATCGACGTCGATAGCTGGAACTGCATGTCCACACTGACCGGGGTCACCGAACCATAGGTAGGTCAATATTGTCAACACAGTACACACCCGCGCCATGAAATCCACAGTTCAGCGCTCTCTGAAGATGATCATATGGGACCTGGCGAGCCGGCGACGCCTTTCGCATTTCGTGCAGCACGAATTAAAGGGAATGCTTCAAACTTGTTTCCATGTTTCACATCGTTGGAGGAAGCATCAAATATGATAAACAAGCTCACCTATAACTATTGATGCACTTTTAAGTAGAAAATACTGCTCTAGACAACACACTTTCTCTGTTTAGTATATATACTCCTCGATACTTCATTGTTTAATTAGGTCATCGTGCCTGCACAACATTGATTGAGGGCCAGTTGACGGCTGTTATAATTGGAGATCTATGATGTCAAATATCATGACGTCATAAATACGAAGATGACCTTGAAATACTCCCCTTAAAATAGTATTTTTATCTTCGCGGGCGTGAAGCTCACAAACTAGAATGGTTTAGGTCTTAAGAGGGGCAGGGCTCTGAAATCCACCAAATGATCTTCAATGTGGCTATTTATGTTTAAAAAACATTAAAATGTGGAACGCGCCGTTTAAGCAGGTATTCTTGAATCACATTTCATGCGGTCAGTTGGTTTGGCCGAACGGCATGACTTCGCAGACGAGAACATTCAACCTGCTCCGACCCACAATGTTTCTGATGCGGGCTCCCTGTCAAATGTTTGCCTGTGCTGCGAATGCCGTGGAAAGCCCGCGGTCACAGCCGCTGTGCAAGACGGGCACAGCGTCCCACTCCTGAGGTCCACCGCACGTGTCGGTATCAACATGCACACGAGTTTATTCCCAGTTCACTTGTTGATTTACCACAGCTTATTTCTAGAGCGTCGCGTTTCCCAAAGTACCTTGACATTGGACCTACTGGACACAGGAGGCCGGTGGGGTGAGCCGCTCCCAACACCGCGTCCTCCGAGTGGTTTGTTTTTTTTTTGGGTGGGGGGGGTGGATTAGAGCCCTCTCGACCAGAAATGATCATTTCAGGGCTATGGGATAAAGGAAAATGGTTAACTGTGGAGCAGACCCGCATGCGCTTGGGGGGCCAACCGTCGGGTTTTAACCCGTGCACGCGTCCTGGGTACCCGGTCGGGGTCCCCCCTTCCCACGGAGCTCCCGGCCCACTCGTGGCTGACGCATGCAGCCTGCCCCGGACAAGCGGGGCGTCGCGAGGATGCAGGATGCAGCAAGATGGCCGATAAGAGGGACGGCTGCCTCCGAGTGGTGCTGGGGAGAGACCCCGAGATCGCGGGAGGCCGTTCCGGGTCGGGGTAGGCTGCTGTTCCTGACGGCCGGGGACACCTGGTGATGATTGATAACAGCCATTGAGGAGCTTCACCTCTGGCTCCGTCCTGAGCTGCTGACATCTGAACCTGACGCGGACAACATCAACAGGGATATTGAGGAAACACTCAGCGGGGATTAATCTCAACTTAAACAGCAATGAGCATTGGAGCCCGCACTGTCACGTGGCCGACGTCGTTGCAATGCGACCGTTGCAGCGGGAGGGGGCTTGGGCACACGCCCTCATTTTCCCAACACGGTTCCTGCTCCCTCCAATTTTGGTCGTGCAAGGCAAATCTTTGTATGTTTTCTGACCCAACGTGTCATGCTCAGGTCAGGTTCATGCTCTTGTCTGACCATTAATTTTCAATTTGATCTTCCAGACGTGTTTACATGCATGCTGTGCAGCGAAATGATGTCAAGAGTTGAAGTTCTCTGTCAGGGAATGTTCGCGAGCTAGAGGCAAGCGTTCCTGGAGTGAAGAAAATGAAGTAAATGGTAAGGCTAAACCAAAGTTGATTTTGAAGATCAGCTCTCCAAAATTATGACCGGCATTACATATCTGCAGCTGTCTATAGACGGCTGCATCTGCAGGCAAAAACGTCAAAGGGTATGTTCCGCATTTGAAGTGATTGAAGCAAGTGTGAGACATGATGAAATGATCTCACTTATAACTATTGGCATACTTAAGAAAGGAAAAGACTTCTCTTATAACACAATGTCTCAATTTAGTTGGCATTCTTCTCAGTGCGTAACTGGTTGATCACGTCATGGGCCGTTTGCATGACAACACTCACCCGTAATTCTTCAATCTCCCGAGTGGTGGCCCGCGGCGGTGCTCGATGTGTGCCGAACCCAATAACGTTAGGTGCTCACATTTTGGCCCTTTCCCACGGAGGTCTTGCATGTTTATCCGGGAGTTTCTGTATATTCCGGTACATTCCGGTATATCCGGGACTTCCGGTAGTCTTGCATATTTATCCGGGAGTTTAAGGTACTTCCCTGCATTTACTTGTCCGGCTATAGCACTTTTCTCTAGTTATTGGACAACAGGTGTTATTTCCGTAATAACCAATTGCTTTATGTAGCACAAAATGTAATGCGCGTTGGAATCTGGCATAACCTGCACAACATTGGTTGAAAGCCAGTTGACGGTCGTTTCATCTGAAAAATTGTGCCCACGAAGTCCAGATTTGAACGACTCGACAATTATATTATTGTTTACCTTGAACGTCGCATGGTCAGTGAAATCACCGAACTTGAATGCTCTTATTATTGCGCAACGGATACCTCAGTAATCTGGAAATAGTCCACACAAAATAGTGTGCACACCCTTGCAGGCGAGCAATCAGAACCTGGAGGGTTTAGACCTTAAGGATGTGCTGTGAACTACGCCGAATGTTGTTCAAGGTGACTAGTTCAGTTCAAGGTCCCATGCAAATGTGAAACGCTCCTTTAAAGAAGCTATTGATAAGTTTACTTGTTCTCCAGATAATCACCAGTTCTTTTATCGCCAGCTTAAGTTATTCTCATTCACTTGTTTCCTGTCCTAAGCCTGTCTGTCTGCCTGTCGATCTGTCTGTTTGTCTGTCTGTCTGCCTGTCGGTCTGCCTGTCTGCCTGTTTTGTTTTTCGATCTGTCTGTCTGTTTGTTTTTTCTGTCTGCCCGTCTGTCTGTCTGTCTGTCTGTCTGTTTGTCTATCTGTTTGTCTGTCTGTCTGTCTGTCTGTCTGTCTGTCTGTCTGTCTGTCTGTCTGTCTGTCTGTCTGTCTGTCTGTCTGTCTGTCTGTCTGTCTGTCTGTCTGTCTGTCTGTCTGTCTGTCTGTCTGTCCGTCTGTCTGTCCGTCTGTCTGTCTGTCTGTCTGTCTGCCTGTCCGTCTGTCTGTCTGTCTGTCTGTCCATCCGTCTGTCTGTTTGTTCGCATTTCTTTGGTCAGACGCATAGCATAGACGGCTGCACGGATTGCCGTGAAATTTGCACATGACGACGGGTTCAACCATGGTGACGACCCACGAGATAATATCACGCCATTCGATGCAGGTGTCGGCCACAGCCTGCGCGAGAGGGGCTGTTTTGGGATTCAGCACGAAGACATCTTCGGTGTTTGTAGGAGAAAACAAGTTAAACAAAATCTGATCCCTGGAAAGCAAGCTGCAAGCTCGAGCGACGATGAGTCGAGCGTCCTCATACGCGAGGTGCTGCCAGTTCGTTGCAAGCATTTATCAGGCACAATCTGGACACACTGTGCGTCAGTTGCATGCGAATCAAATCAAATCAAAATGCATGCGAAAAAAAATGTTGCGGGGATGGAAGCGGTGCTACAATCGACGCCAACAGCGCCGGCTCTGCGTGCAGCGAAGGAGGCAGGAACCACAGATAAGTAGTGTCCATCTGAGTTGCTGAGTACGCACAATAGCTTTGCACTGACATCGTGTCGGAGCGGTCCATGAATGGCAAATAGTTTAAAATGTTACCTGAGATCGCCTTCATAAGGACAGTGCCGAAAGCTTTTAGTCCTCGTCGAATAACCCCCTAACAGAAGGAAAAAGGAGAGAGAGGAGAAGAGAGAGAGAGAGAGAGGGGGACAGAGAGAGAGAGGAAAAAAGCTATACTAGATCATACATATATGCATTTTTATATATGCATACATAGATGGAAGATATACATGTATATATGCATATATGTATATATATATATATATATATATATATATATTATTATATATAGATATTTATATATATATATTATAATATATTATATATATATATATATATTTATATATATATATATATATATATATATCCATTCCACTCCTTCCTCTCATCTTTTTCTCTCTCTCCTACCCCTCTATCTCTTGTTTCGTCTTCCCTCTTCCTCTCCCTCTTTTCTCCTTCTCTCTTTTTCTCTCTCTCTCTCCCTCTCTCTCTCTCTCTCTCTTTCTACTCTCTCTCATCTCTCTCACGGTCTCTCTCTCTCTCTCTTCCCTCTACTCTCTCTCCTCTCTCTCTCTCTCTCTCTCTCTCTCTCTCTCTCTCTCTCTCTCTCCTCTCTCTCTCTCTTCTCTCTCTCTCTCTCTCTCTCTCTCTCTCTCTCTCTCTCTCTCTCTCTCTCTCTCTCTCTCTCTCTCTCTCTCTCTCTCTCTCCTCTCTCTCTCTCTCTCTCTCTCTCTCCTCTCTCTCTC